AAATAGCATAATGTAATCGCATTGTGCCATACACATAATGCCTATGCTCCATTTTATAAGGGTAATTGACTAGAATATTCATATCCATATTATTCTATAGGATTATTCTATATCATTGATATCATTGTATAAATGTTGTTATAATGTGCCTATGAGCCGCAAGGCTTAAAGCTAATAAACAATAAAACATTAACACCTGGCATTAAATTTGTAGACGTAACTAACACCTGGGCGGTGAACCTACCCTGCGGGGGTATACACGGGACACGCCATTTGTTTACTAGGGCAAGGTGATAGATAATTATAATTAGATAATTAATGTCTCGTGCCCGTGTCTGAATGGACAATACAAACAGTAATTATGTTGTGATAAGAGTTTCACGCCTTGATTAATTAACCTGCCCAAAGACAGTTACTTACACTTTGATGTAGTAAATAGTAAATTTGACAATACTTTTAAAAACTATAATTGGAGATGCTCTTTATGAGTAGCTCTTATTACATATAGAAGCCAATTTGGGGATTATAATTCCGATTTGGCAAGATAATAAGGACTAATTAATGACATGAGCAGCTCCAATTATACATTGAAGCCAAAAAGGGTTTATATACAAATCCCTACAAGACGAACGACACAATTCTCTCTTTCAAGTAAATCAACAAGTAAACCTGTAATCATCATCATGCGTTTCGCAATCGTTGGACACAGTTTCATTGCCAGGATGGCTGGACACCCTCTCCTGCAATCAGACGATATCCAGCTGATAGGAATCCGTGGGGCAACAACCAGGACACTTCTACTATCGAAGAAAATCCGTGATCTTGAAGTCGACCGGGTTTTCCTCCAGATTGGAGGAAACGACATCGGCCCCACATCAGACCCAGATGACATTGTCGAGGACATATGTGACGTTGTCACTATGTTTGAAGAGAAAGGATGCCAGGTGGTAGTTGGTAGCCTTTTCCAGCGATACAGACCGCGGCACATTTCACCAGAGAAATATGAAATTCAAAGAACCAGAATAAACAAGCGCCTATGCCAACTATTCCAAACAGAAAGTAACGTCACATTTTGGAAACTGCGCGGTTTCCAACAACTCACAGCTACTGCCTTCAAGGACGGCGTCCACCTTACACAGACTTTGGAGACCCGGTACGCCAGACAACTAAAGCTAGCCCTGTTCTGCAGCCAGATGAATTAGGCATCTTCTCAAATTAAAACGGCCCTTTTTAGGGCCAAACAATTTTCTNGATATCCAGCTGATAGGAATCCGTGGGGCAACAACCAGGACACTTCTACTATCGAAGAAAATCCGTGATCTTGAAGTCGACCGGGTTTTCCTCCAGATTGGAGGAAACGACATCGGCCCCACATCAGACCCAGATGACATTGTCGAGGACATATGTGACGTTGTCACTATGTTTGAAGAGAAAGGATGCCAGGTGGTAGTTGGTAGCCTTTTCCAGCGATACAGACCGCGGCACATTTCACCAGAGAAATATGAAATTCAAAGAACCAGAATAAACAAGCGCCTATGCCAACTATTCCAAACAGAAAGTAACGTCACATTTTGGAAACTGCGCGGTTTCCAACAACTCACAGCTACTGCCTTCAAGGACGGCGTCCACCTTACACAGACTTTGGAGACCCGGTACGCCAGACAACTAAAGCTAGCCCTGTTCTGCAGCCAGATGAATTAGGCATCTTCTCAAATTAAAACGGCCCTTTTTAGGGCCAAACAATTTTCTAAAAGAGTGTCATTGAATGTCTCGAAAACACGCTTCCCCATCCCAACAATATCAAACGACCATACAAATTAAAGATAGTCTTTGAAAAGTCCCTTGCAATGACGTGACTAATCGTAATAAATGATTTACAATTATATTGTTAATATTTATTGACATATGTACTCCCTACAATCTGAATACGTATATACGTTTAACAGTGTATAGAAGGAATAGAAAGCACGCCCCTCTTCTCTTTATTCAAAAATTGTTACCTGATGAAATAATCAGAAATTACTGTACCATTGGATAGCTATGGGAATTATATCGGGGTCAAAAAGTGGGACATCTCATCTATATACTTTATCTTGAGGTAAATATGGAAGATTTAAATTAAAGACGTCGTAAATACAAATAAATTCTAATGTATAAGATCTTTAACCTTTGATAATTAAACAGTGCAATCCTAGTAATCTTAATATGATTCTTGGTCAAATCCGGCACAAAGCAAGTGACTTAACTTCTATAGATTTATCGACAATCTTATTCAAGATGTTTCTGTTTCTGTCCGAATTGTTCTTATTTCAGGCTTAATTTCTGTGAAATATGTCAAGAATCTCAATAAGTAGTTAATTATCGATATNTACCGTTACTGTCGCAAACAATCCACGGATGGTGGTACTCATTGTTCATTCTCTGTGATGGTCGTACATTACATTTCATAACAATGCCGTCAACAGTAACATGGTGTAAAATCTTATCAACAGCACCACTCTTAAAGTAGTTGAAACTGTCCATAGACTTGAAATTCCTCATCTCTTCTCCGTCACATGATCGACTCAAAACTAAATAGTTGTAAATATCGCCATACTCGATCTCCGGCCACTCGCGCATGTCATCGATCCACTCGTTTGATTTAACATCCTTTGATGTGATGGATTTTGCAACAGCCTCTATCATTGAATTCATCATTATCAACTTTACGCATGTGATTATAAATTCAGTGAAGTTCCAGTGAATTTTACAGAAATATCAATGCTACCTTGTTTTGCTTTTCGAATTGCCCGCCTTTATGAGTATGATCACTTCTGTAATGGCGGCACGATGTTAGCGGCACCTAGTGAGTATAATAATTACTACGGGCGACGACTGAAAAAAGTCGTGTATATCTTAAAAAAGAAAAAATATGTAAATATAAAAAATACCTGGTTGTCTGGATGTAATTATTGTTGATATAATTACAAGTGGTCTCTGTAGGATTTGCCAGAGGCCACTTGTAATTATATCAACAATAATTACATCCAGACAACCAGTTATTGTTTAAATATTTGTTGCGAAAAAAAGCCGTCGCGCACTATGACCCTCTTTTTAATTTTCAAAAGAGGGTCATAACCCTCTTTCAGTATGTCCAGGGTTGTCAGGAATGACAAGTCATTGACAAGTTACTCCTAATATAGCTATGCCTGTTATGACAATTTTGTGTATGGATTTGCTCCATTTGCCCATATAAATGGGTGCTTGCGGCAGGGTATGTTTTTGTGAAATTGCCTACTTGTGATAGTGCGGAACTGATGCCGACTTCATTGTGCCATGTCACTGAAATACAATGTCAAAAGCACCCATCATATCATTCAACTCGGTCACATATTACTGACAACAGGTGAATTTCCCTAATCGCTAAGCAATAATCAAGTCACAATAAAAAACATTTATAAGGACTTTTGCCGGCCCGGCATGGACACAGAACTAATTGCTGTTCTCACCTGTCCGAACGCTAACATTGAAGCCAATAGTGAGGTACTGCCAAGCAAGGCACCAAGAAACAAAAGATATTTTATAAGCTGAAAGAATAAAAACCTCCCAAACAATGCATTAGTTTCAATATATTTATTTTGGTCGTTTTTGTGTCCCAAAGTAGAGGGCACAAACGCAAATCTCAAGGGTCGCGATCAGGTACATCAGATATATTCTTTTCTCGATCGGACACCTACATGCAAAAGATCTAAGGGTTATAACTGTATGATATAGACACAAAACCCGATATCAAAATGTGATATTCTGCCTCCCTATGACGACGTATGCGACTGTATGAAGTGGGACAGAGGATCTTTTCTTATCTGTGACGCTCCGTAACCAGTGACGCTTCGGAGAATAATATGTCTGCTGTATCCCACAGCATTTCCTCTGTATTCTGCTTAGGGGAGGCAAATACATCAACATACCCTTTATAGTGCTATCTCACTGAAATACCATGCCAATAGTTATGTGTCACTGCTTGGCTGTGTGAAAATGTGTAACAATTAAGCGTCTGTCTTCTTCAATCTTTATTACAGAAGTCCCCGAATTCACCTCCTTTAGGAGAGTTCCTAAAAACAGTTCCAAACTTATCTCCCTTCGACCATACATTACATCATTGTCTCTCCCACCCATCACATACCATACATACAACACAATGATTCCGCCCGGTCACATTATACTGACACAGGTGAACCAGTTGTTTTCGTACCCTTAAATGCTGAACGTAAAGCAAGGGATACCAACTACATTGTACCATTTTAATGACTTTGGTATGTACCTGTTTGGAGACAAAACCAATTCCCGTTTTTACCAATTTGGGATCTTTATATTTCTCTCTACTTCCAACTATCTTTAATTTACTAGCGCATTTATTGGCAACACCTTACTTATGGATTTAATGTTGAACGTTCACCCAGGTGAGAAAGACAATGTGTTCTGTCCCCATGGAGTATGACCATGGCAAGCTCTCATATGAGCACGAATATGTTTCTAAATTTTGTTTGTGTTTGATGTCTTATTTACAGCTACGGTCATTTAAAGACGTGCCAGGTTTGGTGGTGGAGGAAAGCCAGAGTTCCCGGTGAAAAACCACCGACCTACGTCCAGTACCTGGCGACTGCCCCACGTAGGCATCGAACCTGCGATCCAGTGTTGGAAGGATGGCAGTACCAGAATGTGGCCGCGGTGGCCAAGTGGTTTAGGCGTTGCATATGCTTCTTAAATTGGTAGGAGGTATGGTAGTGTGAAGAGTTGAAAGTTCAAAAGTATTAACAAAAAAAAACATTTTAAGGAGAAGACGTTCAATATAAAATAATACTTACAAAGTTGTATTTGTTCCGAACTGTCCCATAGAAGCAAGTACAACAGCGGACGTAAAGGGCAAACCAAATATCCAAAGAAACACTTTCCAATCTCTTGAGCCGTACTCGACTTTTTTTCGTAGATAAATGATAAAAAAAATGGTAACCGCTATTATGTTGACAGTGAACAGCTCGGCGAAGACAAAAGTGTAGAGAACGAATCCATAAGCCTGACATAACACAGCAGGTCGCACATGGTCCCGTGTTATTAGAATCTGAGAGTGGTCTAACAGGTGGGTAATGCCAAGAATTGTTTCAGTGCAAGCCAGATAGAAAACAAACCGCTCACTTTTGGTCCAAGAGAAAATCCCTTTCAGTCCTCGGTCCATTGTTGAAGCAACGATTACGCAAAGAGCAGACAATATGCTCAAGCCAAGACACGTGATCGCTAGGGAATGTAACAACACAAACGACCCATCGTTGATACCGAACAGTTCAAGATCATACGCACTCTTAGCTTCCGGTATGATGCCACTTGTAACTGATTCATTGACTCTATCCATGATGTTTGATTTGTGCACAAAAAGGTAAAAAAAAAAATTTATCGGTGTCACTTTTGGTTAAGTGTTACCTTTTGATTTTGATAATATTTTCAGCGCCCTGTATATCAGCGTATCAAAAAATGAAGACGTAGATATGTAACAGATATCCCGGATGTCTTGACGTATACAGATCGGATATTTACTAAATTAAAATGATAGGTTGATGTTTATATCAACGCTTTCAATTAGACCTAAGATTGTATTTCTATGGAAAATCTGTACAACAAATGTATATAAGCTGTCGGCAAACGTGAGGCTTTGTGATCACTTTATAACTTAAAACAGAAAGTAATGCTACTTACAAAATATATAATCAGTTCCTATTTACATATTCATTCAAGTTGTCTATACTTTTCAGCTCTAATTCCATTATGTCACGATCACTTTATGGGTGAATGATTCAGTGTTATTAAGGTGATAAACAAAAACAGGAAGTACATCCCAAGTTGAAAATCCAATGTAGGGAGACAGTATCACAATTTCCGCAAATTCTAATGTTTAATATCAAACTGATGAATATTGTATGTTTATTATTGACAGAACAGTGTGTTCTCTCAATATTAAAGTATTTCATGGCAATCCAGGCATTAATTCAGGTGGGTTTTTTTTTATCAATGAGTCACATGTGTTCATTTTCTGTACTTCAGGAACCCGGCTACCTATTTCACTACTGTGAAGTTTTTCAAGAACGATAACTCTTACCTGCAATTACTATGTGTATATGGTTTTATTATAAAATGTCAATTTTTATATCTTGTATAGAGAATTAATTTTACACAATTTCAGCATTTATTAAACTGATATACATTAATGCAATCCTAATATATGTCAGTATCATTTATATTGACATTATTTTGTAAAAATATTGTGTCTTTCATTTTTTTTTTTAATTCACTCCTTTTTACATAAATGCCCATTTAAAATCTTTAAAATTCTGACAACCTATATTTTTTGTGGCAGAAAATTTTCTTTACTCTAAAGCAATATAACTAAAAACTAGAAATTCTATTGAGAACCTTAACTGTGATAGCTTGTTCAGGGTTAAGTTCTAACACAAATGAACTAAAGTCATATCAAGACAATGTCAACACGACAGAACGACTAACTAGTTACTTTAATTACCACTGTCAAGACTCTCCTCCATCTGGTCGGATATATAGTTGTAGTCCTTTATAGCTAGCCTACGGTAATTATTATTTGGTGTCAAGTTAAAGGGACCCTTTCAAGCCAATGTTTAAGCGTATAATTATCTGATCCATATGAAACTATAGTATTAAAATTACCATGCTACAATCTGTCGAGAGAAAAAAAAGTATTAAAGTAATAAACTTTATTAATAGTAACACCATATTGGTTTGAAAAGATTTTCAACTCAAATGACTGATATGTATGTCAAGTATATGTGTGCGAAATCTTTTACCGACTAATTACATCTCACCAGGCACAGGGATGAGGCAGAAGTTTAGGCTATTCTCGTGCAAACGCAAATTCTCGAGATGATCAGATGTAATATTTACACTATATTACTTGTTAGACAGGGTCAGTTGCAAGGTTAACACAATACTGCGTAAAAGACAGAGTCAGAGGTGAGGTTAACACACTACTACGTGTTAGACAGGGTCAAGGTGAGGTAAACATTATACTACGTGTTAGACAGGATCAGAGGTAGGGTTAACATTATACTACGTGTTACACAGGGTCAGAGGTAATGTTTAACACTATACTACATGTTAGACAGGGTCAGAGACAAGGTTAACACTATACATCGTGTTAGACAGGGTCAGAGGTAATGTTTACACTATACTACTTGTTAGACAGGGTCAGAGACAAGGTTAACACTATACTACTTGTTAGACAGGGTCAGGTACAAGGTTAACACTATACTACGTGATAGACAGGGTCAGAGACAAGGTTAACACTATACTACTTGTTAGACAGGGTCAGGGACAAGGTTAACACTATACTACGTGTCAGACAGGGTCAGAGACAGAACAAATCAAAGCTAACAAATGAGTATTGCACCGGTATTTACATTTCTGTTAGCCCAGCAAATATGGAGATGGAAGGAAACAAGACTCACATCAAAGTACATGTAAAATGTATATTTTGCTTCCTTGTGATTCTTTTTGAAGTCCACATATCAAACGTCAAGCTCAGCTATATGGGCAGATTGCTTCTTGATAATTATGGGGGATATATTGCCACAAGACGGGGCCCTTACTGACCTGTCAGTGTTCTAGTTTTGGAGGCCCTCTTCAAATTGTTGCTTACAGCAAACATTTTCTATACATCATCTTCATTGCTGTATACAAAGTCAAATAGTTTTGTTTGTTCCCTGGGATTGATTTGATATAAATATGCTTTGCTGCTCTTGTTTATAATGTATTTGAAAATTTGAACTAAGTGTGATGAACTACTAAAAACAAACTGTTTTATTAATCATGGAGCAGATATCAATATGTTTACCCTAATCTAAGCTGTGTGGAAAGTCATGAAAGTATCAATTGATCAAGATGTGTTGTTTAACAAGACAGTTCCCACAGATATGATGAACACAATAATTTCAGTTCTGCTTCTGATAGTATTGATGATGCTTGTTCTGAGAATGTAGGTAAATTTCAATATGAACTGTTATCACAGTATTCAAGTTGTTTTAGCAATTTCTCAGCAATTCATTTACTTTAATGTTGTTGAGTCCACCTCACTGAATTATTGAAAACGTTGGGTCCCGCTATGTTAAACTGTCAGTATTTTCAGAAATTGTAGGAGTGCCATCAAAAATCTTACAGGACTCTAGTCTTTCATTTAGATTCATCACTTGTTTCTCAGAATAAAGACCTGGCATAGATAATATTGTAGGTTACACTTAAAAGCTTAATAAATGTCACACTCAAAAACAAGTAATATCTATTTAAATCTAGTTCTTAAACAGATTACTTTTCAAAATGTACAAATTTCAGTGTAACATGGGCTGGCTCGAGTTTCAAAGGTTTAGTTGGATTTAAATTTCAGTTTAGAATTGTCCTCAAATATCACACACAACAAACTTAATTGACCTTTGCTTCCCATTAATCATGATGAATACACACATTTTAGTTCTGCTTCTGATCAGAATGATGATTCTTTGTTCTGATGACATGGGAACACTAGATTGTCCACTCTTCTAAAAAAGAACGTATTAAACTGTTAATTTTAAAATAAATGATGAGTTTACAGGCTTAATAGTATAATTTTTGGACTCACTCTGTTACAAGTTCTGACTCTTGTTTTGGAGGCCCTCTTCAAATTCTTGCTGACAGAAAACATTTTCTATACATCTTCTTTGCTGTATACAAAGTCAAAAAGTTCTGAAATTGGAAATGAGCTGTGAAACAAGCAACTGTGGTATTGAATATATATATAAATACAAACCAATAAAATAATGGAGGGGGGATTTAACTCATTCACCCCTGAAGACACCTTTGAACTCTCATCCAATTCAAAGGTTGGAATAGTTCATTTTGAAATTTCAAGGGTGAATTTAAGTTAATTTGTGACAAAACAAGAATAAATCTGCTTTGATGTAGTGATAGTTTAGCTTTTTCTGAGTTTCTTTTGAGAGATAATTATTTTATTTTAAATATCAAAATTGATTGAAAGAGGCGTTTCATGCATCACTAAAAGAGAAAAGATTTTCTAGCTGGACTTGTTAAAAAAAATCACAATTTCTTACAGAGGAAGCACCTCGACAGCCCCTATGAAATCAACTTGATGGACGAGCTGACGCTGAAGGGAGTTACCCAGTATTATGCTTTTGTTCAGGAGAAACAGAAGGTTCACTGTCTCAACACACTGTTCTCAAAGGTGGGTGATACTATTATTGAAGACTGTTGCAGCAATTTGTAATATTGACTGTTGTGCTTCAACTTCTACTGCTGTTGTGAAAATATTGCATTAGTTTTGCTACAGTCCTCTACTATTGTAATGGTATTCATTTCAAGACAAATACAACTGATATACTTTTAAAATGACTGTATATATTATATTTTATGTATTTTACTTATCCTTCATTATGAATAAATAGTGTAATGTTAAATGAGCTGATTCATCTTTGGAAAATCCCTTTGGAGCAGCCTCTTTTAGGTATCCATACAACATAGGTAAACTTATATTCCAATCATGAGAAATCAGTAATGCTACATCTGAGAATTTACAAAACTATCATCTGTGGTGATTAAAAACTTAATTTTGACAGTTACCATATAGGGCAAATTCCTATTTGAAACCAACCCTTATTTGAGTATTTATAATTGGAAAGCCGTTAAAGGCATCTTTCAAGAGGGAATGATCATTTGATGTAAAAAAAAAAAATAAAAAAAAATGGAGCTAAACTCACAGTAGGTGATCATATGAGCAGTATTGAATGTTATTTTGTGTCTTTTCACTTTCAGTTACAAATCAACCAGTCCATCATCTTTTGTAATTCCACAAATCGTGTGGAACTTCTAGCCAAAAATATCACAGAACTTGGTTACTCTTGCTTCTACATCCACGCCAAGATGAACCAGCAACACAGAAACAGAGTCTTCCATGACTTCAGGCAGGGAGTCTGTAGGAATCTAGTGTGCTCAGGTAAGGCTTCAGGCAGGGACTCTGTAGGACTATAGTGTGCTCAGGTAATGCTTCAGGCAGGGACTCTGTAGGAATCTAGTGTGCTCAGGTAAGACTGCAGGCAGGGACTGTGTAGGAATCTAGTGTGCTCAGGTAAGTAAGGCTTCAGGCAGGGATTCTTTAAGAATCTAGTGTGCTCAGGTAAGACTGCAGGCAGGGAATCTGTAGGAATCTTGTGTGCTCGGGTAAGATTGGTTGGTTGGCGGGTTTTGCGCCTTCATGAATCCGCCCTTACAGGTTTCATCTCACTGACGGAAGTCAGTGTTCTGTCGACGTTTCGGGTAAGACTACAGGCAGGGATTTTATAGGAATCTAGTGTGCTCGGGTAAGACTGCAGGCCGGGACTCTGTAGGAATCTTGCATGCACAAAGTTTTTTTTTAACAAATTAGATGTACTCTGGTAAATCCAGTTAGGGATAATCATATTCCAGAATTCGGTATGGGGGGAAAAGGTTGGGAAAACATTCTTAAATTGTAACTGCCCACTAGAACAATGTAAATGATATTTTTGACCCAATGTCTCATTCATTATCCAAAGTGACTTCTGGCATTTATATCAAAACATGAGAAGTCTGACTATTTTCTCGGGAAATCTGATGAGGATGTCAAGATTTCAGTGAAGACTATCAATATGCAAAGTAGTTGTTACACCTGCAAACCAATTTTCAATGAAGAGTCATGTCCCTTTATGTAAAACATACGAATATTTCTTTGAGAACAATGCATAGGTTTCAAATATAAAAGGTAATTTGTTAACTATGCAATCTAGTTTTTATTGTGAATGACATTAATCTGTGAACATGAAGAGCTTTTCCTTGGGTGGTATTAATTTGGGGCTTGGCTTGAGAACTAGTTCTAGTAAATTCTAAGATTCCTCTTGACAAGTCTGATACCAATAAATCATTTGTGTATTAATGATTCTTTATTTTGTAGATTTGTTCACGAGAGGAATTGACATCCAGGCTGTGAATGTTGTTATCAACTTTGATTTCCCCAAGCACGCAGAGACATATCTCCACAGGATTGGTAGATCTGGTCGGTATGGCCACCTTGGAGTCGCCATCAACCTCATTACTTACGATGACAAATACTTGTCAATTTAGTTCTTATTTAGACACATCTGTCAGTTTATATGACAGAACATTTTATATGATAAACACTCCAATTCATAACAGTTTTCACCTTGATGGTATATTAATGCCTATAATTTAGGTCTATTTGAATAATGACTTGAAATGCTTTCTTTAGGACTGCTGAGATAGACCCATTATCAGAACTCATTATATGTTTAAATAAAAACCCAGAAGGTGATATTTTCAAGAATGATAAAATTGTGTACCCAATATCATCTCTATCCTAATATACATATTCAATTAGAGTGTTATTACTAATTATCCAAACATAGTGATGGGCTAGACTTTGCCAATGATACTTCAATGATCTGGACTTGTTAGCAAGTGAGAATTTGGTAAGATGTGTCTAGGTGGTTGAGAGGTTTGGGTGTTTCTTGTTTATACAGAGACTGTCTTACCATAACTAATTAAAACTTTTATCTTTTTCCATTTTCTCCCAGAACATAACATTGTAATAGAGGCATAAAACGTTACCATTTTGCATTTGTTTGAAAATGTAAAGCAACATTTTCAAATTTAACTAGAGTGCAAAATGTTCTTACAGTTCTAGTTTTTTCACCGGCTGTGCTGTTAGTTGGACTAAGCACTCGGAACATAATAAACACCAGACATGAAAATCTGAGATCTGATCTATAGCAGAAATAAACCTGTCTAAAACACTGCAACATTAATTCTGTACCTTTTATAATAGTAAAAAATGTTAAATGTGTATATTTCCTGTCTTAATTTTGTTCCGAGATGTTTTTTTGCCAGATGTGATTTTATTACCGTTTTGGGATATGTGCAAGGACATGCGTCTATAATTGAATTTATTAATTTTTGAAATATACTAAATCTTTAAATGTTCCACCAGGAGAGGGATGAAGATGATGATGATGTCCCGCACAACTCCCATGGGGCTAAGGGAGGACAATGATCAGCCTTTACCCCGCCCCAAACTGCTATCTCACCAATACTTCTCTAGGTCACAAACATGCTTTGAACTGTGATACAGACAGCTGTGTGTCCTGGTAGATGCATTATTGTGGCAGATTTACTTCTGACCAAAAAATGTGTTATTTTGATGAGCTGATCCTGTCTTTTCAGTTCGTTAATGATATAGTGATTTCTATATAATGATTGTTAGACCAGCTCTGGATAACAAACAGCTGAAGGATGACGATTGTTGCAGATTTCTATATAATGATTGTTAGACCTGTTCTGGATAACAAACAGCTGAAGGATGACGATTGTTGCCAAATATGTTTACATCCGATCTGAGGGGTGAACCACTAGGCAAAAAAGTACTTTTAAGGCCATCACATCATAGCCTCGGTGGATTCCCTCCTTATACATACTTCTGTGCTCGATGAGGATAGTGGTATTCAAAGAGTTTTTGTCCAACAAAAAAATAGTGCTCCTTTCATTTTATCTAGACAGAGAATTCTTTAGTGTGTATTGCCTAGATAAATAAGTGCTCCTATAACTTAACATTAACGTTCTCAGCATTTTGTCAGATGATGTCTTTTCTCATGCTCTCCCGATTTTGTTCATATTTTTTATTTTTATTTAACAAATTAAGAAGAAAAAATCAGAAAGAATGATATCTATGCGATATACAAAAGAATCAAACTGAGTTGAAATATATATTTTGAGAATATTAAACAGGACAATGCTTGTCAACATTTTGACAAGAAAGCAAAATGCTGAAACCAATAACACTCAGAATTCATGTGTAAAGCAGCATGATATTGAAGGTGGAGTTAAGTGGGTTGTAGGCCAGTTTTTGGCTTGTCGGATATCAAGACAAAATGCTGAGGATTTAGGATGTTGATAATTGTGATGAAAATGTATAATAAATGTTATGATTTTGTACAGTTTTAGGCAGGTCAGCCGTACCTGTTTTGGGAGGTGCTTAGCAGCAACCGTCATATCAGTGTTTGTCCAGGGAGGACAATTGTTTTGTTAAGTGAACATTTTGTCAGTGATGGTTTGTTGTTGGATGAAGCTGTCACTTTGCCAGCTCGTTGATGTAGAACCCCTTCCACTACTGCCAACTCATATCGCCACCATAGAAACCATGAGAGTAAATGTGTACTAGAAATGAATACGAGAGAGAGATTAGTTCTGTGAGAATGTTACAATGTAGAACTTGTAATACGGTGGTGTACTGTCTTGACTATTGGGTTTGAAATATGGCTGATTGGTTATGATTCTGTATATTACCCAACCAAGTCCTATTAATCAAAATGGAAGAAAATTACTCAATAAGAAAAGAGACGGATGTCGAGAGCTTTCTTATTGCAATATCTGGAAATTCTGTCATATATTGTAATAAATTGTGTGTGCAGAGAGTTTAAGAAACTTTTGGAAACTTTTTAATTCCTCAAGTATTTCCCATAAACCATATTAAGATAAGTGCTAAAAGTTTCAATTTAGTTTTTCTTTTCTTTTTTCTATTTAATTGGGTTTCCTTTTATTGTTTCGGTCCTTTCTCTTGCTGTAGCAGATGTAGTTAAGGTAATATATCAATGGGCAAAGTGAATACTTGCATACACTGGAGTAAAACAGCATGTGCTTAGATCAGAAATGTTGTGCAGTGGTGTACATTGTTCTCGCTAAATTTTGAAACAGGGATCTGACTTTGAAAGAATAACTGTTCAAATGGTCACATGCTATAATATTGACACATGAAAAAAAAAATTGGCAGTTCCAAGTTGATGAATAGAAAGCAAAATTTGCTAGCAACTTTTAATGAAAACATTTGTGTATAGTTGGTCCCTGTAGAGAAACTGGAGAGTAATGCTTTTTCTCAAAGACTACAGTCATCACTGTTCCTGATTACGAAATCATTTCCAGCCTATTCTGATGACTAATATCAGATTCTGGACTCTGTGATGCTGTTTTTAATAAGAACTAATTCTGTCTAGACTCTGGTATATGGACTTATTCAAAGGCTTACCTTTTTTGATTATTTGAATTAAGCATGTTATGCGGTTTTTTTGCAAACTTCATAAAATGTCTTATAAAACTTGAAAAAATGGCAGCTATTTTCATGTCGGTAGACTGAATTATGAAGAGCAATTGTTTGTACCTGATGCAACGTAGAACTGTTTCAAACAAAAAACTTAGAAAATTTTGATTGATTCTCGGCGAAAACAGTTTCCGATGTGCATTTATCAGAGAATGTAATGTAATGTAGAACGGATAAGAAAAATCCAATTTTCAGCCTTTTTACTCGTAAACCCATTTGCTGCTCGTGAGTTATACAGTCAAGACACTAAACCACAATGAATTACAAAATATGAAGATATTTGTGATGAGAATGTATTTTTACAATGTAATTGTTTGACTTGGTTGGTTGCGATATATTTGTGTTGTGTCAGTTGGCATTGTGGGAGAGAATGTGTCATGCGTCTGTACATAATCATCACATCCATCATCGGGGATCGCTACAGAGTTATATTTATACATTGTCATTTGGAAATAATCATGATATGCAACGACCAGCGGTATTCTAGGCATAATCGTCATTGATGTGATGGAGTAGTGTGTACTACCTGCTTGCCAAGACCTCTACACATTAGTATGTCTGCAGTGTGGCCTAGGTGAAGAATATAACCAGATTTTACAATTGGTCAGTGCTGACACATGTATTCCTGACTATTATCAATCTGGTAAAGCTAAAAGTAATGGCAAAAGGAAGTGAGTGCTTTGTGCATTTCTCCATAAACAGTTTGGCCATGCAAAGCTAAAAAGACGAGAAACTTCAACATTAAAAAGTTTAAAAGCTGTAAAATTTGAAGGAACCTGAAAGAAATTGAGTGGTTGTCTTAATTCCTAAATACAAAAAGTGGACAATGGAAATATTCAAGCACTGTGTGGTCGTTTGGAGTCGCTCCACCTCGGACTGGGACATTTTGAGGATAATGTGCAAGTGCATAAATAACTTAACGACAGTGTAGGAGAGTTGCTGGCTGTGGAAGGAGTTGTGGAGAATGTTGCATGCTGCCGTCCCCACGACCTCCTAGCCTGTCCTCCTCTCATAAGTCCAGATAGAAACTGGCATCGTTTACAGGCAGCTTTCACACCTAGGGGGACCGCTTAGTCTCCGCCTGGACCTGCCCAAACTAAAATGGCCGCCAGGATCGTCTCATTAACTCAAAAGTGATAGGGCCATGTCAAAGGGCTTTTTATTAAAGAGGAGTTAGCCATACCTGACCTTTGACGCGAATGCCAAAACAAAACTACACATTTAATTAATAAATGCAAAACTTCTGGTCAGTTTCCTGAAAAGGAGATTGTTCTGTGCTCAGTTAAAAAGTGCAGGGATATGTAGAATGAGAGCGAGCGTGCTGTGGTATATAAGGAATGTGTAGGACCATAGATATGTAACCGTGCTGATAAATGGCTGTGTTCATGAGGAATGAGTGTTCAGTGTTTGATGTTGAGATACAGGAGTGTTGTGAGCTGAATTAACTACAAAATATGCTGCCATGCAGGGAGCGTATTTGATCTGTTGTGAAGAATTATGACTTGAATCAAGAAAGTAGTGTATTGGATCATCTTTTGGAGTTTTGTTTGCATATTTCTTATGTTAATTTCTTTTTATATAAATTGCAATAAAAGTTTTGCAGTTTATTGGGGATGATATTGGTAAGATAATTGTAAATTTCTGATTTCATTAGGAAAAAGTGGAATGATGTTGACACCACAATAGCAGCAAAATATGATTTGATCTAGTTACATAATTTAATCTGTGCTCTTGTTCAGGGTATGGAATGAAGAAAATAGAAAGGATCCCCTCCCCACCAGCAGGTGAACATGTGGGCCATAATATATAACATTTTTAGGATTGTTTATTGATGATATTATATTAGTCAAGATACTGTAGTATTGACAAAGGTTACAAAAAGGAACTTTCAAGATGTAGATACATTCTACATTAAAATGCAGGAGATATATTTCAATAAATTATGAACTTAAGGCTTTAGTTAAATAGAATGATTACTTGCAGCTTTTCAATTTCTGTATGTACAGTAATGCACTTTTTTTTACATAAAGATTTAATGACGATGGAGGTAGAGGGGTGGGGGTATTTATTAGAAAAACTTGTTCAATACATTGGGTGATTTTGAAAGATTTATTTAAGTATTCCTGTTTTATATGTAATAAGAAAGTCCAACTTTTATTTGAAGTATTTAAATCTACTGATAGGCTGAGAATGCAGGACCTGGATTAAGATGACAAGTTGTGAACTTGTAAAATTTTAAAACCACAAAGGCAGCTGTATGTAGTGGTCAGGTATTTGGCAAGGTTAAGTTCAATGTTGATCCATCATTTGATGTTTTCTAGAGGCAGTGATCCTGATTTTGAGTCTTATGTACAATGCACAGAGATGATAGTTTGTTAAACATTTGACCTGTTGACAGGTGTAACTAGAGTATTACTTCCTGTCTCTTATGTGTCTGCTTCTTGAAGGGTAATTATCAAAATATGTCTCAATATTGACACAGAAATCTTGTAAAATTGTAGAGACATGCAACAATTTTTTTCTATAAAAAAGGGCCTGGCTTTTGTTGTGCAAGTAGTTTTTTTCTTGCATACCAGACTGAAATAGCTACATTTCAATCAGTGCTAGCTAGTCAATTCAAAACAAACTATGTGCCCAAATTTCTTGCTCGTGCAAAATGTCAAGGGAGGTAACTTGTGCTTTCGTCACATCTTCTTTTCTCTCTCCTGTATGCTTTAAAACGGGAGATGTTCGGTTAAGAGGGAAAAGGAAAAAAGGCTTGTCAATGTTACTCATTACTTTCAGGTATTTCGGCTCTATTCAATACTGTATCCCTTTGGATTAAAATGGCTTGTTCCTATTTCACATCGGGCATAGATTCTAGTAGAAAGGAGTGATGTTTATCATTGATTTACTGTTCAGGTAACAGTTTTTGTTTCATCAAACCAACAGACCATTTCATTGACACCAACAAAATCATTACACCAATGACTGAGGAAACTGGTCTGTTAGTTTGGTTGCTGTGTTGATCTCAGTTTATCCATATTTTGATCAAAGGGAATAAAGAATAAAACAACCTAAATAATCCAGCATCATTGCTTGTGATGATGTGCCTAGAGCAGTAAAACGTTCACTTTGTCAAATCTGATGCATATTGGAATTTTGCTGTACAATCACATTTTGAAAAATGTATCTATTTCTGCTGTACAATGAAAATATTTATGGGAAGAGTAAATACACCTAAAGGGATTAGTTGTTTAAACATTGATAAGGATAAACAAATATTTATTGGCTGGTTAAGATTCTGAAGTGAAATTGTATTAGGGGGTGTCCGTGTAGTAACAGACTAGTCAATACAGACTAGTCAATTCAGATTTGTGTGTCTGTTTTTGTAAGCATTATGATGTTGTATGTAACTGACTTTGCACTGTCTGTACCGTTTCATCCGAGGTTACTTGGTGCAGTGTTCAATACAAGGCCTGTCCTGTTCATTGTACTTTAACTTTATTTGTTGCTGTTGTA